CTATGACTGCCGCTACGCGATGCATATTTCAATTTGCTTTTTAAGATCGGAATTATGAAAACTGAAATAATGGAAGGAGGCAGTGACTGTGTGCTAGAAACGAGTTGAAATATAATGTTAACCACACCAGAACTATACAGGGAGCATAAATAAAAGAGTCATTGGGGATCTTATCCAATACTAACGACTTGTTTCATGGGAGACTTTCGGTGATATTACGGACCTCATCTATATTAAGGGCAGGGTATGTTAGAACCGCGGGCGAGCACATCGCACCTCGTCATTCCAGAGTAAAGGATCTGAATTAAGTAAAGGATCATTAAAAATGTGCTATCTGATTTAGCATACAAGACTTTGACCTGCGTTGTCCATCCAGGTGCTACCAATTGTTGAGATCTCGTTCCTCCAAACATCTTCATGACACAATTATGTATGATAGCAGCAAATTTAAAGTGACTCTCAATACCATAATTATGATTACAACCGTTACGTATCTGCTACAGTATAATGGTTCACATATAGTCATATATTTTTCTAAATTAAAAGTTAAAAGTTCACAGAAGAAATTTATTGTCCGCTCATTACCATAATTGGAAGAAAAATGAACTTAATTCATCTGAAGTTAATGAAATCAATCATAAGCATGACGAAATTATGTACTGAAATAATAAGAAAGAAGTGAAAGTAGATAATAGCCGAGGAAAAAAAAAACGGAATTCCATGATCATATAAAACAGTTTTCATTTTTATATGAACGTCCCTCAAGGAACTTTTTTTCCTGAAAAATCTAACCTGCACATTCTCGTTTTCTTTTTGCAGTTTGATGTTTTCCTTTTCTGCTGCAACCCACTTCTGCGTTGCTTCTGTCTGAAAAGAAAACCAAATATGTATAAGTAAAGAGTCAGTATGTATAAGAAAATAGTATATATACATATAAATATGCATACTTTTATACTTATACATATATGTATGTATGTGTGTATGTGTATGTATGTGCGTATGTAGATTTGTGTGTGTGTGTGTATGTTTGTGTTATATATATATATATATATATATATATATATATATATATATATATATATATATATATGTATGTATGTGTATAATTATATATATATATATATATATATATTTATATGTGTGTTGTGTGTGTGTTGTGTGTTGTGTGTGTGTGTATGTGTGTGTGTGTGTGTGTATAATGTATATATATATATATATATATATATATATATATATATATATATATATATATATAGGTATATATATATGACGTGTGTATATATATATATATATATATATATATATATATATATATATATATATATATATATGTATATATATATATATGTATATATATATGTATATATATATGTATATATATATATATATATATATATATATATATATATATATATATATGTGTGTGTGTGTGTGTGTGTGTGTGTGTGTATGTATATATCCATGTATATAGTGTATTATTTGTGTGTACATGTAAAATGATTATAGCCAAAGAGAGAAATCAAGGAGTAATGTCATCTACAATTAATTATAAACTAGACTCACAATGGAGATGCATTGGGATAATAGCCTGTCATATTCGCCAACGGTGCGTATCGCCGTTGCTAGGTCAGCGGCTGTCTTTCCTTCCTTATTCCTCTGCCACTCCGAGGCGCCTAACGTCAGTAGCGTGAAGAGAGCGAGGGGGTGGCCTTGCGAAGCTGCGAGGTGAAGGGGCGTGTCGTTGTTTTTGTTGAGCAGGCCCACCTGAGCTCCCCGGTACCTGAGTTCTTCCAGAATCGTCCAGTGTCCTTTGAAAGCGGCTTCGTGGAGTGCACTCCATCCTGCGAATCAATGTGTGTATCATTACTCTGCATGCTTATCTCGTTATATATCTCTCTAGAGCTAACATACAGTACATAATTCAGAAAATCATTAGGGAGCTTTTGACGAATATAACAGGAAACAGGACACAGTGACTAAAATGTAGGCTCTATGCATGTAAGTTATCACCTTGGCTTTCGATGTTTCACTCACTAGCATTTATATTGGAGTATATTGGAAAAAAATCATGACAAAATAACCTCCTCACCATCCTTTCTTCTGGCGTTTACATTGGCACCGTTCGCGAGGAGCATCTTTACTATCCTGCTGTGACCTGCTTCAGCGGCCCGGTGCAGTGGAGTCCGACCTGCAAGAGGCTGAGGATCATAACGGTGACAGTAATAGTAGTGATAACAGGAATAATAGTGATAATGATAATAATAATAACAATACTAATATTAAGAAGAAGAATGATAATGATAATAATGACGATAATAATGATAATGATAATAACGACGATAATAATGATAACAATAATAATAACAATATTGATAACATTAATAATAATGATAATAACACAATGATAAGGATAATTATAATAAGGTATTACAGGGAATTACACCAGAATTATTCTCTGATAGAACGTTTAATTCTGAGACACATTTATTTTTTTATCATTTCCTTCGCAAACTATTAATAAGAGCAACAGAAAGGATATAAAAGCCAATTATTCCAGGTGCTCACTGGTACATACGAGAAATCGAGGAAGCGACGAAATAATCGAACAGAGCTGTAGCGGTTGACTTATACAGACCTTGATAGGACCTGTACTTGGCCGTGACGTGACATTAGACACTAGCAGCCAGTTTAATAGAACAATTCTGAACTGTAATTGATAGTAACGCGACAATAACAGCTAGACCCAGACAAGTCAAGTTGAAATTCAGATCAGTTCCATTATGACAAGGCTGTGTACAAGGTGAGGGGGAAATTATATCGCTTTTAAGAGCAGCGGTTAGTGGTGTCAGTTCCTGCCAACAGCGACGACGAGGATCCTGAAAACTCGCAGGCTGATTATTTACTGGTCAAAGTGAAAAATTATTGATACGAGATCCAGATATTTTGCTTGGGTTTAATCTTGCCAGAACATACGAGATGAAGATTTTGTAGATCATACTGAAGTAGGATAATGGTCTCTAATTCACTGTACAGAAATCCACTATATTATCTGAAGGTCCAGAGGAAAACTCAGTATCTGTTAACAGACTTTATTGTTAAGCAGACACGTAGTAAACGGAGATATGAAATGGTAGAAGTGGACGTGGCAGATTGGCGTCGGTTTCCTACGGGAAGCAACAGGGGGAAGGTGTTGCTTGACTCGTTCTGTCTGTTCCTGGGGACACTGGCCATTCCTCCCTTTGCCCTGCCCAGGGCGTAGCCCCCTGCGGCGGGCCTACAGGCTTGCCTTCTCCAGTTGCATCCTGTTATCGCCGGAGTCAGGTCAGGGCATCTGCCTTGGGCTAGCAGTTGCTCCGGCCTGGTGCTTAATGAATGTCACACACTCTCATTCTTCTGACCTCACATCATTCATTAGCGTGTGATAGGGTATGAAGTAAAAAATTATGAATATCGTTCATTTATTAAGTGTTTATATTTTTTTTTCCGTGATTAGAGAATTATATTGTTACAATTGCAACAAATTTAGCGCGTTCATGATTTTATTCCTTTCAAGAACATTCACTCATTAATTTCTTCTCATGGCCATTTCCTGTCTTGACCTGACCTCACGTGAAAGTCATTAAGTCAGCCTGGCTAATCAGCTGGGGCGAATCTGACCTGATTTTACCTTGAGTGATTGACACAGTGATATGGCTGAGAAAACAGCTATCTCCTTTTAATTGTTTCAACTAATTGTCACAATATAGGGATACCACATAGCAACCGTTACATGTTCATTGGTGACACGTTTTATCGGCGCTAGAACGGAGCTTGTAACGCGATCGTATACAATTATATATTTGAATATAACGTCAAGAGAGTATCCTCATAGCATAGTGTCAGAGTGTCTCAGTACTTGAGGTTGCATTTATGTGTAATGACTCGTGCGTCCCGACGTAATGATAGTAGGTTAGGTAACCAAAGTAATTCATACACTCGGCAAATTTTGAGCCGGGTTGACCGCAATTATGTCAATTAATTTAGGACTAGGGTTTAACTCTGATTTAGGATCCACTTAGTTAATCATATCCCGCTCACACTTTTAAATGTCGCTGGCATGTTTGGGTTAATCCCATTGGTTTGTGATTCATGATAAATCCCCATAGGGCATTTCATGAGCGCCAATCATAGATCCGCAGATAGAGTGGGCTATTTATAGATTTCCCCAGCTCGTTTAGCTTCATAAAATACGGCATTTTAGGGTCCAGTCCCCCCGTCAATAAAGCCTGCATGCCCAGTTGAGACATACTCACTTACCTCAGCAGTTCTTAGAAGATTCACTCCCGAAGAAGCTTGCAAATAATTTCATGTCACCATTCATTAATGCGTCATTCTGTCACACATTTATGTTAAATTCAATGTGGTAGTTGAAATAATTTTGCATTACGTCTATAAATAATTAGTTGCATTATTGTTAAAATGAACTTTATTCTCCGTGTTGGCAACATTACTGCTCTGTATGAGGTCACTCTTACTCTCATTTATCATTCCCACTCACTGTCACTCACTCACCGACGCAGAACAAAAGACATTGAAACCTTCATTAATAGGGTATGCTGCTATCGTAGTTGCAGGCGTACGTATCTCTTTGCCGCGATTTTGTCAATCATGATGTGTGACTTGTACATGAATTCGTATTTTACATACTTTTCTTTCTGTTTCGACACTTGGTTCAAGTAAATCCTTGCGGATTGCTAATTGTTGTTTCCCTTACTTTATTCTCTTATCTATCATGAGACGGTTTGGTAGTTCAAGATAGTCCTTGCGGAAGCTATTGCCATCTCCCTCTCCTATTTTCCTCTTTTAACTTGTAACTAGTGAACATAAAACACAAAATAAAAAAAAATTAAAAAAAAACGAAAATTCGACCATAAAAACTGCAAATCATAAACAAAAATCGGCTAGTGGCATTTAACACCTCCTCTTCTCTGTTGTCTTTCTTTTCTCTTGCTATCTTAGCCCTTATGTGTATATATCTGGTTCATGATATATGAAACGGCACCGAAAGAGGCCCTACTGCAGAGACGGTCACCTTCGGAAGCTATTGGAAAACGTTATCAGAGGATCGCCAGAAGCCTGGAGAACAGGATGCTCGTCAAAGCAAGTATTAAGCCGCCCCAGGACGTGGAAGGGCGCCACCTGCCAGGACGCCCGTAGATCCAGCGAATGACCAGGAACTCGCCAGCGCAGGTATCAGTCGCCCCAGGATGCTGTGGACGGGCACCGCCTGCCTGGACGCCGCAGATCCAGCCAAACTCCAGGAGCTTGTCAGCGAAGGTATCAGCCACCCTGCGATGCCGAAGAGGACGCTTCCTGCTGGACGCCCGTAGATCCTGGCGAAGATTACGAGGACGTCTGTACGAGCGCACAGCCGAGAAGGACCTGGAGAGATCTGCGAGACGTACATTGGGCGAGTAAGCCGCCGAGTTAGACCTAGATGTGGCCTCCGAGGAAGTCTGGGCGAATCTGAAGTCAAGGAGGACCTGGGCGAGACATTCGAGGACGTGTGGATGTCGAGGACGGACGGATTTAGCAGGGACCAGGACGAGGATGGCGACAAGGACGAGCAGCCACGGAAATGCACCAGGGATACCGCACGAGAGATCGAGGATGAGCAAGTTAGGACCAGCAAGTTGGGTCACCCTTGAGGCAAGTCCAAGCCGCCTCGGGAGCGAGGCGTTAGTAGGTGGCCGAGCAATATACCGGGTGGAAACAGCTGCCGGTGACCCGGTTCTTGCAGCTGGTGTCCCCCCCCCCCCCTGCTTTCCGGGGGCCGCCGCTACATATACTCCAAGGGTGACCCCTGGCAGTCAGAATGTGCCTCGTCGCTGTCTTGTCAAGGTCAAGTTACCTCGCGGTCATTTGGCCCTGTTGGGCTGGGGCGGTGCTCGTGACCTTAGGCGACCCGAGCATACACCCAAGACTGTCTCTTTGTATTTATTAATATCTGTGTGCTTAACTCTTGCAGTAATAAAGAGTAACAAGCCACCCAAGTTTTACTAGCCTGTTACCGATGCATAAGAGGTCAATTCAAAACCTTTACATAGGGGGACCTCCTAAAAGTGGGTTCAGGAGACAAAGCCCCATAAAATTCATAAATATGCATGAAAATAGTTAAATTACTGAAAGCTTTAATTCCACCATTCGCTTTTACCCCGCAATTTCACTGATACCATGCCTGACATCGTAGCGTCTCGTTTGCGACGGAAATGAGCGCTAGATTCACTCGACACACGAGCGATATCAGAAAAAAAACATCGGTAAAAGGCGTAATTTCCAAATTTACCAATAATAGTAATGACAATAATAATAATAATGATAATAACAGTAATGACTATAATGATAATAACAATAATGATAAAAAAATTATATCACCAACAGTAAGGATAATAGTAATATCAAGAACAACAACAACAATTATAATAAAAATAGTAATAATGATCCCAATAATGATAAAAAATTGTGACATTTAAATCTTGAAATGGCAATAGGGGAAAACGGAACACAAAGGAAGCTTTTAAGGCCGTAACATCTTGAAAGCATTGCAGCCGCCTTACCCTCTCCATCCGTAGCATCTATCTTGATGGCATCCTTCGTTAAAAACAACTCGACAAGTGCATCATGACCACCTCGAACAGCACAATGCAGAGGACGTTCACCTCGGGGGAAAAAAAAGTTTAAAGCTTATTATAACGAAGAAGAGAAAGTGAGAGAGGAGAGGAGAGTAGGAGATATAAAAACGAAACAAAACAAAGGGAGAGAGAAGGAGAAGGAATGGGAGGCAAGGAGGGAATAAGGGAGGAATAGAAGGAGAGTTATATATTGGTAGTCGTTATGATGGTGGTGATGAAAATAAACATAATCATATAGATAATCATTTCATTATCTATCATGTCATTAAAGCAGTGATAATAGATAAATCAAAACATAATAATCAAAAATATTCATGATGGTAACATTAATGACAGGTAGATAATGCAACTATAACTCCAATGATGTTAATAATGCTGTAGTAATGATAAGAAAAATAACAATAACAACATAACAAACAATAATGTTGATAAACAATGAAAAGAATGATAAAGATAATAATGTTAATGATAATAATAATGTTAATGATAAGGATGACAACAACAACAACAACAATGATAATAATAATAATAATAATGATAACAATAATAATGATAATAATAATAATAATAATAACAATAATAACAATAATAATAATAACAATGATAATAATAGTAGTAATAATGACAATAATAACAACAATAATAATAATTAGTAGGTCTTCTCTCCTTCTTTCATCCTCCTCTTCTCCATCGCCATTTCCCTTTCCCTTTCCAGATCCACCACCCTCTCTCCCAAATGTTCCTGAATTTAACTCCTCCCCTCCCACTGTTAGCCTTACATCTACTCGCCCCCCCCCCCACTATCCCCCCCTCTTCCTCTTCTTTAACCCCCCCCCCCCCCCCGCCTCTGCTCCCTTTCCCCTTCCACCTTAACCATCCCCCCATTCCTATTTAAGTCCCATCCGTTTCCTCTTCACCATCTCCATTTTCCCCTTTTTAAATCCTTTCCTTCTCTCTCTTTTCCCCTCTTTCTCCTTTCTCCCTGTTCTTCCCCCTTCGCCTTCGCCTTTCCTACTTAAACCCCATCTCGGATAGTCATATAAGTAATAAAGATGCATAAACGGTCGAATTCTTTTATTGTAGTCTACTTACCTCGATGAAGGAGAAAGAAAGGATAATAAGAATTATAATTAGTATTATATCATTGTTTCCTCCCCATCCCTCTTTCATCATCGAGCTCCCTCTTTTCCTTTCCCTTTTCCCTATGGCCATTTTCTTTGTTTTATATGCTCTCTCCTCATTTCTTTTTTTCCTCTTTAAGCCATCTTTCCTTCCCTTTCTCCCTCTCATCAGTTTCTTCTTTTCATTTCCCTATCTTCCCTCCCTTCATTTTCCCTACCCCTCTTACCTTCCTTCTTAACCCCACGCATCCCGGACTATCGCGTGAATATGAAATGTACATAAAATATTTCATTACGATAGGTTCGCCTTGAAGAAAAATAATACTAACAACAATAATGATGATAATAATAATAATAATAACGATAATGATAATAATGATAACAATGGTGATAATAATAATAACATTAATAATATAATGATAATGGTAATAATAATAATAACATTAATAATATAATAATAATGATGATAACAGAAATAATACGGATTATAAGTCATGATGACAATAATTCTACTAGATTCTATGTGGATTCTAACAGATTCTTAGCACTATATTTTTGTGCATGTGTGTATGTGTGATTTTTAAATGTCTAGGCTTCCATTATCACCCCATTCGACATCAAAATGAAATGGCTTCACTCCGCAGTTACATAAAATATGTTTTTGAGCATAATTTGGCCAACATAAATGATTGTGAAACGACAATTAGTCCACAGTCAAATCGTGTGTGTGTGTGTGTATGTTATTAGCTGCAAGGGATGGAAATTGATAGGAATCTGTCCTTACCATTGTCGTTTTTATCATTGACTTGGGCCCCCTTCTCCAGGAGAAACCTGACGACCGCTTCGTAACCCCGCTGGGCAGGGCTATGCAGAGGATTCGCATCTTGAAAGTGAAGGGAGACGGTAAAGATCATGTTTAAGCCAAGGAAGATAATCGTTGTGATCGTAATAATGTTAATTATTATAATGATATGGGCTGTGATAATGAAGAGGAGGAGGAGGAGGATGGTGGTGACGGTGGTTGTGATAATTATGATATTACAGTAATGCAAGTATGCTGATGTATATGTACACATATGTGTATACATACGTACATAGCTGCATATGGATGAGTGAGTGAGTACATATGTGTGTGTGTGTGTATAATATACTGGGTAGAGGACACGTGGCAGTTGTCAGCCATGTGGTGGGCGCCATGCTGCCCAGCGAAGCGTCCCCAAGCCAACGCGCCGTGGCTTGGGTACGCTACCTACCCTCGTCCCCAAGCCAACGCTCGGATATTTAAGGCCTGCATATGACCCCTGTAGATTCCTGTAGGTGGAAGAGCATCCCCTCTGGTCTCTCCCCAAGGGTGTACACCTACCCACGCGTTTGCCGTGCGTGGCAGCCTTGTGCGCTGTGGAGACGGGAGTCCTGGAGTTTGAGCGATGCCGTGAATGAGTACGCCTTGCAGCTAGCAACACGCCTCTTTGGTCCTCTATTCCAGCAAGACAGGCGGCCTGATCCCGGCCCGGTCACGGTCAATCGGCTGGTCTCCCATTTTGAGGCTAGGGTCAAGCAGTCATGCCTCCATTGGCACTCACAATGTGAGTGCCGCCACTATGGTTATTGGCTGCGTATATCCTCTCGTCACCCCTGTGGCTGTCAGACACTGGCTCTGACACACAGCTTCCCCTTGTTGGACTCCGTGGTGGGTGGGGGCGTGAGAGGATGAAGCACGGTCCACTACATGGAAAAATTAAAACAAAACCCCCCACTGACTGATCTCATAGTTGACGACCCATGCAAGGCCCAGACCACGGCAGCCACTCTGGAGCCATACATGGCTTCAGATAGCAATCGAAAGCCCAATGTCCATCAGATTGTAAAACAGATGGATTCTCGTGCTGGTCTCTCCAGACCAGCAACCAAGCCAGGGAGGCCCCTGAGTCCCCCTCAGAAGGCTTCCCCGACAGGGACGGGACCACAGGCTGGACCAACCGAACCAGCAGCTGCTGCCCCCACGAACAAGCCCCCTAGCCGAAAGGGCGCACCGAAGCGACCAAGGCCAGAGACAGACTCTGATGGAGAGTCTGGACCCACCAACAGTTTCTTCACCCAGTTCAAGGTCCCAACCAAACCCGAAGGCTTCGACAATGCCTACCAGTTGGTTAGAGCATTGGAGATGCAATCAAATCCAGCTCTCAATCCGGGTTGCCAGAGATCAAGGCATGATCATAGTGCCGAAAGATCATGCCGCCCTGAACTTCCTTCGGGAAACCATGGAATTAAAAGATGGGAGAAAAGTGAGTCTTTCCCCATTGACTCCCGAAGAGAAGAGAACCAAGATGTTGCTACTTGGCTTCTCAGTCTCGTACGATGTGGAGCTAGTCACTTCACATCCTCAGGTCGTGGAGGCTTCCCGAATGGCAGTAGAGAAGACCCCAACCAGGCAAGTCCTGGTGACACTGAAAGGTGCCCCTACCACTACCCTTGATCTGGGTAACTAGGGCACCTACAGCTTAAGAACGTATGTACCTGAACCACTTCGGTGTTTCAAGTGCCAGATATATGGCCACCACCAAGCCTAGATGTGGTGTCTGTAGCAAGGCACACAACACAGAGGTGTGCCTGAAGGCCTACAAAGAGAAAAGGGACACAACAGCCAAATGTCCCAACTGTGCTAAGAGGCATCACACCTAGCGCCTGACTTGCTCTGTCAGGAAAGAGGCGGCCCTCAAGCGACAAGAGGTTGCTGAGAAGCGACCAGACTTCATTCCTGCTCCCCCAGGCACTCATGTCTGGGGCAGGAAGAAAAGTGAAAAGGCCTCCCGACCTCCTAAGAGGAAGGAAGCCGCCCCACAGCCGACACCGGACGTCTCCAACACAACAGAGTTTCCGGACATGCCGAAGCAGAAGAACCAAAGGAAGAAAGGTTCTAAGAAGGCTTCAAAGCCCTCAAGAGATGATGCTCTCTTTGATGAGGCAGACATGACCCTCCTGGTGACTGCTGTCGTGACAGCAGTGGCGACAGCCCTGGGGAGGACAAGGGAAGAGGCGGAGAAGGCAGTCATAGTCGCCATGACGGCAATGACCAAGACTCGCAATCCTGAAAGGCAGAAAGCTGGATAGATCAAAACCAGCCACACCCACAGTCCAGGAGACTCCCCACCCCCCAGTGGACCTCTCCACCCCCCAGTGGACCCACGGATAGCCTGACTTCAGACGAAGGACCCTCAGCCAAAGAGGACTGTGACGGCGTCTCAGGTGTAACTATCGACTAGTAACATCATTGCACACAATCTAAGCATCCTACAGTGGAACATAAGTGGCTTTTCCGGAAGGAATGCCATGCTCCAAGCAGTAGTGCGATCAAGGAGCATTGTCCAGGAGACACTAACGGTGGACACTATTCGCTTCTCGGGGTATCACGTGTTCATGCTGCCACAAACTGTTGGCAAAAGAGGCCTGATCACCCTTGTCAAAGCAACAATCCCCTGCTCCACAATAGCTGATACACCGCACTGTGGAGACAAGACAGAATCTCTTGCCGTAAAGATCCACCTGGCCGGGGGGCCCCGGAGACCAGATGCGGCAGGCCATCACATAGCCAACGTGCTTGAGACGTTCCCCGAGATCGCTCTCCTCAACACCCAAGAGCCAATGCATGTCAGAGGTGGGGTACTAGACCTCACCCTGGTCACTGCGACTCTGTTGGACAGGATTAGCTGGTGTGTCGATGAGACTGTCACAAGCGACCATTACGGCACAGTAACCACACTCATGGACGCAGGCCCAGCCGAAATCCCACGAACAAATCCAAGATGGAAAGCAGACACGGCCAACTGGCAGGCGTTCCAGAATGCCTTGGCCCACTGTCTGAGAGGCAATGAATCCACACAAGCCAAAAATGTGGATGCGCTCGAAGCCAGACTGGTAGAAGCCATAAACCAAGCAGCCTCACTGACCATACCCAAAACTCGGCCCGGATCCAGGTGTCACAAGGACGCCTGGTACTTTAACAACGAGATCAGGGAGGTCAACCACAGGGTAAACATGTGCCGAAAACTCTTCCGAAGGCAAAGAACCCCTGACAACCTTGCACTGCTGAGGGAGGCTGTAAGGGATGCCAAGGAAACTGCCAACAGAGTCAGGCAGGAGACGTGGCTGGAATGGTGTGAGTCCTTCGATCACCAAACCACCCTCTCAGAGCTGTGGCAACGGGTCAGGCGAGCTACCAGCCGCTCAGCCCCGAGACGAACGCACTACGACCCTCAAGCAGAGGCAAACAGACTGATGCACGAGTTCTCTGAGAGAACAAGCAGGAACAGTCTACCAGCTGAGCTGAGGGCCAAACAAGAAAGCCTGAAAGCAGACAGACTTGCTCAGATCAGAGAAAGAGCAGCCAAACCCGATAACTCAGACGCTATCTTTTTTCTGAGGGAACTTAGAAAAGCCTACAAGTTCAGTTCCAACACAGCCCCGGGCTCTGATGGGATCACGTATCCCATTATCTCCCGCCTAGGACGAAAAGGTGAACTTGCACTCCTGCAACTCATAACAAATCCGGGGAATCTTCCTCTCTACCACAGAGCGGGAAGAGGGCTACCATAGTTCCCATTCCAAAACCAAAGGAACCAGGGAAGTACCGCCCCATCTCTCTCCTCAGCTGTCTGGCCAAGACGGCCGAGAGGATGGTACTAAACCGGCTCCTATGGAATATGGGACC